CCAGCACTCTTTGTCATATAATGCTTTGAAACTACTGACGGTCTTGGCCTCCACCACCTTCTCACTTAACTTGTTCCAACCGTCTACCACTCTATTTGCGAAGGTGAATTTGAGTGCTGGTCACCAAACCCCAGTTGAGAGATGAGGCATCTATAAATACATTAAGCAAGTGTAGGGGAAGGCGCCAAACCACCGAACCCCGAAAAACCTGATGAGGAAGCCGGAGATGCAGCAACCAACGCAAAGAACTCCGGGGGTCGAACCTAACGATGGCGAGAACGACGAAAGGGGTTGCCCGGAAGATACCAGAATAGCTTCCAAAGCCAAACCCTGCCCAGCGGGTAAACCAGCAAGGCAAAGTTCAGGCTTCCGCACAGTTTGAGCAACCGCCGAGTGACTTGGGCCCTCCTGAAAAACAGACGACGAGACTGCAGCCGGAGCAAAGCCACAGGAGGAAGAGAAATGGACGCAGTCCAAGAATCCCAGCCAAGTCCGAACCCCTAGATGGAACCAGATGGGACTTTTTCAATTCACCAGGAACCTGAACCCAGCAAGCTGGGAAAAAGCAACGTCCCTGGCTAGCAGACAAGCAGACCATTTCAGACTGGTTGGTGTGGAAGCCCACACCAACCAGCCGTAGAGGTAGGCCAGAAACAAAAACAGAAACCCCTAGCAGACGAAGATTCAAGGCAAATGAAAGGCAATGACAGTGGTAAGCCTGAAAGCGGTAAACGGCAAGCCTGACCAATACGCATCCTTGAGGTCAAGAGATATCATCCAAGTGCCCGGCTCAAGAAGAAGCTGGACCTGGGACAAGGAAGTCAACAGAAAGGAGAGGCAAAGAATCCAATGGGTTCCAATCCAAAGAATTGACGGGTGATAAGTCCAGAATGAATTGCAGATCTGCACAGTATCGTTTCGGAACCAAAAAGAAGCGGGAAACCCACTTGAGGGACAAAGACGTTTCAACTACACCCAAGCGAACCCACTCCAAGATGACCTGACAGAAATGGGAAAGAAGCCTGCCCCGCCACCCCGAAACCCTGACCAGGGAAGGAGCAGCAGCCTCCCAACGCCACCAAAGGCCGGTAGAGACGACACGCCAGCCAGCATCCCCCAATCAGACCGTCAAGTAGGAGCCCTGCAAAAGGGCCGTCACAACCTTCGAGTAGCCGACTTCAAGCAGAGGGACCTTCGAGTAACCGACTTCGCGTACAGCGACCTCCGCGCCGACCAGACAAAGAAGGCTCTTAACACTTTCTGCTGATGAGGACTCCGCCCGGAGTCCTGTTTCGCCTTACCGCTTCCGTGATGTGGACATAAATTTATGTCCTCATAAAAAATATTTCTATAAAATTCAATTTTAATCCGATTTACTTTGGGTTTGTTTCAAACTGCGCACCATGAGGCTCTCTTTCTCACCACTAGGCTGCATGGTACAATAAGTTCATGAAAGGTGTGGACCACTTCGATCAAATGGTATTACCATTTTACCCGGAAAACTCACAAGTGGACCTAAAAGATAACGTTTTATTTCCTGCAAATGGCTTTGCATAATGCCTTTGTTTTGTACAAATACAACACAACTAATAAAAAAAAGCTAACATTGCTACAGTTCCACGAGGTGGCAAATTGGGCCCTATTGTGCTGGGACCCGGAAGATTGGCCTCAAACAGCAACAGTATCTCAACACTTGCGGCACGCTCCAGACATAAATGATGACACAGGTCCTGCCTATGCTGACGCTATGCAAACTCCTGGACCATCTGGTGTGAGGCGGCCCTTGTTCACTTCAACACCTCAAGCTGAACCAGCAACCGAATCAGAACCCGAGATGTCTGGCACACTGCCATTTGACGAGACGGTTTTGTCAGATGACTCTGACTCAAATGTTGAACCTCCAGCGATTCAGTTGATTCTGAAAATCGCATGAACTACAAACTGAAACGAGTATTTTGATACCAGAATGAACACTGTATCACATAAACTGCCATAAGTAGACTCGAACCTTCGTAGATTTTTTTTTAGGTGTAGCGTGTGTCTGCATGAGTGTCCCAAACGGGTTGCAGGTGGGTGACTTTAGCCGTTTATACTGGTAATGCTTCCCCCATATCATGTATTATATGCATATGTCTGTTTAGGGAATTTTATTCAGATCAATGTACAACCAAAAATAACTGTGTGCAACAAGTATAAACTTGACAAACATAACAAAAGTAAAAACATTTTGTGTGTGTTTGACGCTCACTGATATGTTCCAGCGTTGTTTTATATTTGGCGCTATTCTATCTTACGCTTTGTTGATCTTTTTTACCTACGGGCTCATAGAACATTCTATTGCGAACACATTGACACAAAAATGAATGACGTACATAGAATAATAATGTCAGGAGAGTGAAATAAGTATAAACTTTCAAAGCGCCGTATCGCACATGTGTCGTCCCGTCACCGATACCGGGTAACAATTTCACCACTTCCCACACTCTTGCGGGTGGGCCGCAATCATTATTCTACGTTTATATTCATATCACCATGTTGGGAATTTCATTGCGAGTCCATTGATACCAAAATTAACGCTGTAGGACAAGTGTGGAGTAACAATTACCTCCACACTTGTCCTACAGCGTTAATTTTGGTATCAATGGACTCGCAATGAAATTCCCAACATGGTGATATGAATATAAACGTAGAATAATGATTGTGGCCCACCCGCAAGAGTGTGGGAAGTGGTGAAATTGTTACCCGGTACTCCACACTTGTGGAGTAACAAGTAACAAAGTATGGAGTATGGAGTAACAAGTATGGAGTAACAATCCCAAGAGTAAAAACATTTTGTTGCTGTTGGGCGCTCACGGCGAGTCATCTTCGTAGTTATTTATTTGGTGCTGGTATCCCTATATGTTTCGTGAATTTTTTTACTGATGTTCTAGAGAATTTTATTGCGAACACGTTGGTACCAAAATGAAATACGTAGCTTGAGAACTAAGGTCAGGAGAGTAAAAAGAGTATACACATTTTTGTTTTCACGCTTACGCGGTAAAAACGCCGCGCGCACATACCGCTTTTTTTTTTTACCTTCCCAGGGCGCGCGAAAGTGTTAAGGATGCACCGGTTCCAAAGGTGGTGGGTGCACCGGCCTACCTCGACTTACCGAAACCTGAGCCCTGGTACAACCTCCCCAAGAAGAGTGAGCACACCACCCCCGGAGCACCAACAAATCATATATAGGACGGCAACTGGTAGAAGATGCCGACAAAAAATGAATAACAGAGTACATGAACTCCGGAAATAATAGGGGGGGGGTTACAGAACGGCGACGAGAACTATAAACCCAGGGCACATACAGAATCTAAAGAGAGTGAGGACGGCCTGCCAACAAGCGAGGTGAGAGGCAAAAAACATAGCAACCGCTTTCCGAACGATTGGCGCAAATAGCTTCAATAAAGCAGCCGAAACCAGAACTCCAGCCGAAGGCCCCCACTCAACACCTCCACATCCTTCGGAAGCCAATTCGAGGACAGCTTGAGAAGACCAAAGAAGCGCAAGACCGAAGCCAAATGATCCCGAGTTCAATGGTCATCCGCCACCAAGGCAGCTGAAAGAGAGGGTGCTTGAGCATGCAACTGTTCCAGACCCACAGCACGAGAAAGTGCAGGGGTGAAGAGGCACGCATTCTAGAACTCCAATGAGCCCCCAAGAATACCTGCAACACCGAAGAAACCTCTCACCACTAAAGCATGCAGGTCCGGCAAAACCCACACCAAGCCCCAAAGAAAAGAAGGGGACAGTCTGCCAGCCAAAAAAACTTTGGAACCTCGTAACGCACCTAATATGGGGAAGAAGACCCGAACTTAAAAGGAGCCAGATCCATTAACGAGGCATAAACCGTGTCTCACAGGAGGTACGCACCAAGGGCCTCCCAAACTTCCACAGAGGAAATCCAAGAGGAAGGAAACCTTCAGAAGGATGCTTCCGAGGAACCCAAAGGCACCTGGAAATGAACCCGGGGGGGGGGGGGGGGGGGGGGGGGTTTAGCCTCCGCGACCGGGAACCATGCGCTCAGTCAACCCAAATGTGTATCAACAAATATCGTTAGTCGACGACACTATCATAAGTTGAGTAGCATTTTTCGATCAAATTTACATCGTAACTCAAAATTATCCTAAGTCGGGTCAATCATAAGTCGAGGTGCCACTGTAGAGAGAGCTCATATGGCCATTGCTCTCTGTGCCTCTCTGAGGACCAGGTTCTGGCTTGTGGCCCCCGATAGGCACTCGAACTCCAAGAACTGATTGCACCAAACTAATGTGGCACAGGTCAGTTTGATAGAGTCAGGGAGCCAACGGGACTTCCCACAGAAATGCAACATTTAATATAATGAAAAGCCTTTTTTCTAGTAGGTTCTCATCAGAACCTACTAGAAAAAAAATACCATTAAGTGAATGGTTACTCTATTCCCAAACTTGCTCTCCTTCCCATAATGCTTGGGGTCATTGCTTAGGTGGTGCATGAAAGGCATTAACTAGTGGTTGAACCTAGATAATAAGTATGTACATAATTCAAATCCAGGTTGAAAATCTTGAGCAAGCAGTTGCTAGTTTTTTCATGCTCAACCTTTCTTTTGGTTTTTCCTTTGGAATTCTGGTGATCTTGTATCCAGAGACTTCCTTATGCCTCTATTGAAGGGACTAGATTCTGATGCTGGTCTGATAGGTGCTTGTGATTCATTAGAGCCTGGTGTGGTATCTCAGGTTTGGAAGGGTCCAGATGAGTAGCTCAGGAAGACACAAACTCACCAGGGAGAAGTGGTTTTAGGTTCAAAGGAGAATTTTTATGTTTTGATGTGGAATGTGGTACTACTTAATAATAGAAATGATTTTATGGCAAACTATTTTAGAATGCTGACTTTCTGCCTGCCACCCATTTTTCCTTACCACAATACAACTGCTAGCAGCAAAACTGTATTCTTCAGAAATAACTGAAAGGCTGGGGTTACTTACGGCAACAGCAAATGTCAGAAGCAGAAAGATGAACCGGAACCAGATCTCCAACTTGGTGAATGCTGGGTTGTAAGTCTTAAACTGTGGATAATGAAAAAACATTAAAAGTTGACATGAGCCAACTAAGAAATGAACAAAGCTAAAAATAAAGTTGTTATTTTAGCTTTCATGGACATGTTCCAAAGACAGCCTGGACTGAAACCTGGCCAGATCTATTAAGTATTTAAGTAACATTTTAAAAATACAAAATAGCAAGTGAGTTTTTATAACATGCTGCTTGTCATGACATTTAATGCAGCATGTTTTTATAACATGCTGCATTAAATGCCAATTACTATGTATAGAAATAATAGACTTTCTGTTGAGCTGTCTCACCGCATAGGCCCGATGGGCAATTGCCCTACAAGCATAGGACATGTTCATTATGGAAGCAGAATGTTTAAACATTTAGGTCTTGTTGCAAGCATACTCATATAATATAACCCTACAATCTGGTGTGGGACTAAATACTAAATATTTAAGATATATATTTCCAGGTGAATAACCATTTCAGCAGAAATGAAACGCAATGTTTTGAGTGGAGCACAAAAGAGGAAGACAGCTGCAGAGGTGAAAGGAAAAAATAGGAAAACTTTCAAAATTATCATCATGACTCAACACAGGTGCCGGTCGGCCGAGCGGACAGCACGCTGGACTTGTGATCCTGTGGTCCCGGGTTCGATCCCGGGCGCCGGCGAGAAACAATGGGCAGAGTTTCTTTCACCCTATGCCCCTGTTACCTAGCAGTAAAATAGGTACCTGGGTGATAGTCAGTTGTCACGGGCTGCTTCCTGGGGGTGGAGGCCTGGTCGAGGACCGGGCCGCGGGTACACTAAAGCCCCGAAATCATCTCAAGATAACCTCAAGATAACCTCAAGGTGCAATGACAGCCACTTTTACCATTCCTTCAGATATAGCATCCACATCAGCATCCATTCCTGCAATGTCAGCCACTAATACTGTTCCTTCAGATATAGCATCCACATCTATATACATTCCTGCTACCAATCATCCAGTCTCAGCAGATATACCATCATTGCCTGTTGCTGCTGCTGGTGACATTTTACAAGAGGAAATGCCCAAATCTGTAACAGTAAAACAGTTTGCAATCCAAGACACAGATCTGGGTCAATGGAACATTAACGATACTAACACAATAGTTTACTGGATTCGTAGTGAACCCTCATCATGTCAGAATCATGATAGCAACAATTCAAACTCATGCAGAGTGTATAAAATAGCTGGAGTAGAGAATACGAAGGAGAGGTATTTATCAAACAATGAGTTCAAACGTGAACTGTGGAATGGCAAGTATGTAAAACATGAATGGCTACTCTATTCACCATCCCAAGGTCGTTTGTACTGATTTGCATGTCGCCTATTGTCCAAGAAAGAATCTTCCTTTGCTACATTGGGCTCATTGTAGAACATGTATATGGAGAAGAAAATTAAAAGTGCATGACAACATATTTAATAAGGCATAAAGAAACTGGAAGTGAAGAATCTTAATACTTGAGCAACATCGCTCAGAGCAGGACTATTCACAATAAAATGTTGACACGAGTGGTTTCTGTAATTCGCTTTCTTGCCTCTAGAGGTTTGCCATTTCATGGAGAAAATCAGATACAGGGGTACCTCAGTTTATGAATTTAATCCGTTCCTGGAGACGGTTCGTAACCCGAAACTTCGTAAACCAAAGCGAATTTCCCCAATAAGAAATAATGGGAAATGAATTAATCCGTTCCCGACTCCCCAAAAAATTAACTTCAAAGTAAATTTTATACCTAATTCACCCAAATCTTCACTACAAAAGTATGTACAAGTTATTACTTACCTTTACTGATGACTCTTGTTGGCATATAGAAGATGGTAAGGAGGGGGGAGGTGTTGAGGTGTTACTGTTTGGAAGGGGAGTTCCCTTTCATTATAACATCAGGCAGTGAGGACTTCTCTGGGGTGCACACACTGGCACTTTTGCCTGCATACCACTAGGACCTGCTTCTGGCTCATAGGGCCAATAGGTCCTCTGCAGTTCCTCTGTACTTATGTCCTTATGTTCGTATGCACAAGGGGGACACAGGCGGAAGCTGAATACCCAAAGGAGCCACAGCCATGAAAATAACCTGATCAATGTCAGAGGAGATAGGATGCGGAAAGCACTAGGAAGCTACGTGGTGGAGGCAGACTCCACCCACAGGAGCAAACATAGATAAGACAGAGCCCAGGAGGCTCTGGAAACTGCACAACCGTCAACTGACAGGAGAGAGGTAGGGCCCAAAAGCCAGAGCTCAACCCCCACAAGCACAGCTAGGCAAGCACCCATACCAAAAGTCGAGAACCAGCACCTGGCCAACAGAGACGCCAGACATGACAATCTCACCTGCAGAGTAGCCACACGACCGTGCCAAAACGCAGGCGAGCCAAGCCAAGTAACATACCAGGATTACAATTTCGAGGTAAGCGTACATCAACTGCTTCCTTCACCAAATTCAATACTTGTTCACCACTAGTTACTCTTAGTGATTTTGGAAAGCGAACAAAAAGGGTCCTAAAATCAATGCTGGATTCCCGACCATCATGCTCTGCACGCAATTCCTCACTAATATTTATTTAAGTGTAGTTACAGGATGAGAGCTACGCTCGTGGTGTCCCGTCTTCCCAGCACTCTTAGTCATATAACGCTTTGAAACTACTGACGATCTTGGCCTCCACCACCTTCTCACCTAACTTGTTCCAACCGTCTACCACTCTGTTTAGGAAAGTGAATTTTCTTATATTTCTTCAGCATCTGTGTTTAGCTAGTTTAAATCTATGACCTCTTCTTCTTAACCCTTAAATGGCGCATAGCTATATACCATTTGACACCCACAGGCGCATACCAAAAAAAAAAAAAAAAAATTATTTTTTCTTCCTAACCTGTTAATTTGTGTTCACTGATCACGGGAAAAATAATAAAAAAATTGTAAGTGGCATATATTGCCCACTATAGGGCGGGGAATTCTGACAAAAATCAGGCGATGACTGAGCGTGCGTCCCAGGCGGTCTGTTGATCGCCAGCTGTCAGGCCGGAGTTTCCACAAAGAGATAATTACCTAATTATTCCAATGTCTCTGATTGATTTTTCGTAGTTTTTTTGCTGTAATATTATTCAATAGTGTGTAGTGTGATATATTTATATAATAAAATGAGTGAATCATCGCTGTACTCAAAAATATGGTGTGCATATTGTTGATTCAATTATGTTCATCAAACAGTGAACAAATCCTTTGTCAGTTATTACACTATATACACAGGTTATATATAAGTATCTACATGTTTTGTTCACCATGACGAACCACTAAGTTGGTATGTTGAGTGGCAGTGCCAGTGGCAGGCAGTGACTGCCTACCACTGGCTGCCACTCCTTCCCTCACCTCACTTCACCTCACCTGACTTGCCACCATTCTCCACCCACCATACTGTCTTTGCTTTTATATACAGACGTTACATATAAGTATTTACATGTTTTGTTCACCATAACTGTACATTTAAGCTTGTATGGTGAGTAAAGGCACAAAGACGTAGCTACTCACACAGTCAGCTGGTGGCGGCCGCTCTCAAGGCCAGACGCACTAATATTTCTCCTACAACAATACTGTTTGTGGTGTTATTACGCTATATACACACATTATATATAAATATCTACCCGTTTTATTCACCATACTTGTACAAGTAAACTGGTATGGTGCCCAAAGACCATCGTGGTCATCAGTAAACAACATGGTAAGTCCTGCAGACGACGCTCCTCCCTCACCAAAATGGCGGCTCCCAACCTCCTACTCTCGCTGTTATCTCACACTATACACACGTTATATATAAGTATCTACATTTGTGTTCACCATAGCGAACCACTAAGCTGGTATGGTGAGTGCAGTCAATAAAAGGTGGCCACACACACTCAAAAGACAACGCCACCTCCCTCCCACAGCATTACTCCTCCCTCCATGCTGCACAGCGCCAAATATCACCACAATCCTGCTATTATCAGAACCCTGGTCAGTTTTATCACAGTCAGGGGTCTTCTGTAATAATATCATTGCTACATAATAGCATGAACAAGTATATTATGGCATTTTTAGGCGATGCTGTGGTCACAAGCTGAACAGCAGTGCTGTGTGCATCAGGCTTGGTAGCTGACTCAATACTGAGGCCCCTAACACCCGGGAGTTTGGCCCACGATTTTTTTTTAAAATGGCGTCTGTTTATGAGAGCCCTGATGAAGGTGTGGTGAACCCCGTGTATCCGCGGGCCGTTTAAATCTTGCGTAGTACTCCAAAGCATCACATGATGCGATGCGCAATTTACTGCAAGTCGGTCAAAGCATCATATGATGCGATGCGAAGGGTTAAAGTTCCAGGTCTCAGGATATCTTCCCTATCGATTTTATCAGGAGCATCGCTAGTGATGCGCTCAAATGCCATGCATACTAGAGGCAGTAGGCATTGTATGCACAATGAACAAAATTCGGAAGTCTTAGGAGAAATACGTCCAGAGGCGCGTGCCCCGCAGAAGACGAGGAGCAGTACATAGGGGAAGGAGGAGGCACCACTCCGAGCCATCCCACAACCGGAAGCAGAGGAAGAACGAAGTGACGCCCCCATATATAAAATCCAGAACACCCCAGCATTCAGAGGGATACGATTGAAGGGAGAAACCGAGCAAGAAGCCATAGAAAACCGCGAGAAATGACGCGGACACAGGAGCATACCGCCCATAAACAAAACGCACACCCTGGTCCCAGCGCGCGAGGTACAAAATGCACCACCCGTCCACCGGGTGTCATGGCTCATACACCACGCGGACACACATATCGTACATACACATAACGAACAGACACATCGTATACACGCATCGTACAAACACCAGGAATGTGTACGTAACGAAGACGAGGAACGCTGAAACTGGAAGTAAAGACGATGTGAAAACAAAACAAGGCGAAACCGAAGCGAAAGAAGACACAGGACGGAAGGTAACCAATTAGGCCGACAAAAGACCAGAGGGAA